ATCACTTGCTTGCTTGCAACAACATTGGAGTTCTCATCTTGATTCATGGCAACCTTTGTCTTGACTCACACTTTGACTGTATTTCTTTCTCTCTCTCTCTTTGCTTGGACAACCCTCTCAAAGTGCCCAAAGAAGCGAATAATGTACAATTCTGAATTAAGGTATTCTTTCAAGTCATTGTTCAAACTTTCACTTAATTGAGTACTTCGCATTCCTAGTGTGTACAAGTTCTTCATGTGGCATTTAGCCCATTTCTTTTTTAGCTTATAAATGCTACCCAACCATGTTTGTTTCTGTATCCTACTTCTTATACTAGCAAATACATCTTCAAATTTTTCTTCGCTCTCATACTAGTACATGCATGCAGTAAAATCACGAAGAAGATTTGAATTATCACTCCTACCTTGGTTCAAATGCTTGATTGCATTGTAATTAATATGCCACGTGCATAATCCATGCCATGCTTCTGTAAGTACCTCTACAATTACCTTTTCCATTGCAACATCTTGATTAGTATAGATGGTTTTTGGTTGTTTGTGGCTATAAGTTGATAAAAATGTTTCAAAAAGCCATGTAAAAAAATCAAATGATTCATCATACATAAGATAAGAGCAACCCCAAATACTACAATTTCTCTAAAGTGGTTGAATCCAACAAACACACCAAAAGGTCAGATATCTTGATTAGTTCCAAAGACAGTGTCAAATGTAACAACATCACCAAAGTGAGCATAATCAAATAAGCATTTTAGCATCAGCCTATAATATATGTTATCTGTTCTACACTGTCCAATTGTATAGCATAAGGGAACATATGATTCTCCACACTCTAATTATGAAAATAATATAGCAAGCTTCCAGCTTCACCATACTTTAGCTCTCTTTAGCGTTTAGTGCGCAGATAGTTCTTGTGGCCACGACATGTGTAGCCTAGGTTAGCAGTTCCTCCAACACGATGACTAGCCAATTCATGAGCAATTCTAGGCTGAATACCAGTACTATCTGCTATTTTAATCTTGAATGCCTGCAATTCAGTTATTCGTCATTGTGATGGCATCAAGTGATGGGTTCAGGGGTTTGATGTATATGATTATGCTCAAGAACCAAATCATGTATCTCATATTTTCCTAGCACTCGATTCAGGGTAACTCCTGATGGAAATAACATGCTTGGAGACATTGATCATTTCATCAATTTAAATGCCTAATGCTTAGCCGCACGATCAGCATGTGTTGGATGAAAAGATGCTTGCATACAACAACCTCTGCTGATCGAGTCAATCACCTGAAGACTTGGTTCTCACGTGAAGAGAGAACGTGCGCTTGTGGCCGTTTGGCGGCTGCGTTTCTCACGGAGCCGATCCGGCTTTGACGCAGAGGAGCAACGGATTGAGCGTGAGCTGCCATTCAGTGTTAGCTCTATATAAGAGTTAGGGAGACGTCCTTGAAAGACACAGAACACAACAGCCATCTACTCTGAAATTCCTCTACTGCCGCCGTGTTGCGTCGCCGTTGATCCAAGCCGGCTGTGGTGCTGCACGGGGGCGGTGTAAAGGTTTCTGGGCAGCGTATTTCTACGTGGCCGCTCGACATCATCGATTGACTGCACTGCTTCGACTCATTGATCTCCGTCGATCCATTCAGTGAGTGAATTCTTTCGTTTACAAAGGAAAGGAACCAGTGCATTTCTAATCTAGTTTTGTTCGTACCTGAGTTTTGTATATGCATGGCACTGTTCATCTAGATTAAAATATTACGGCTAGATTACCATTGTGATTAGCCTAATGACCTACTTGGTTTGGTTATTTATGTCTTGTTTGATATCTAGAATGATAGAATTTATGAGTTTTTCTTGTCCTATCATGTCGCAAGTAGGTTATGCTTGCTGTATATGCTTTCAAATAATAATGCTTGGAATAAAATTAATGGCTAAGTATGCATTATTGCCAATAACTCCCATACGAACTTTGCATCCAGTTCTAGTCTCAACTCGAGGAGTCTTTATCAAATGATCTCTTTTATCCTTTCTTCTTAAGCCTTCTTGTTGCAAACAAATCCAAGTGATGTAACCTTGCCATTAAGGCTGTGTTCTTGGGCCTGTTTGGGGGAGCTTCTAGCTGCTCCAGCTTCTCCCAGAATTAGAAGCTCCCCAAACAGTTCAGCTTTTGGTTTGGATTCTGAGAAGCTGTAGTTGTAGAATCCAGAAAATGAACTAGAAGCCAAAAGCTGGGAAACCCAGCTTTTCCAGATTCTCAGAAGCTGGTTACCAATCAGCTGCTTCTCAGAATCTAAAGGTCTATTTGGTTGTTGCCTAACATTGCCACAACTCAATTTGCCATAGGTGTGGCATGGCAAACAAAGTGTGGCCAACAATTTGTTGGCCAGAAGTGTGGCATTGTTTGGCTAAAAAATGAGTATATGACATGTAGGCCCATAGAACAAGAAAGTGTGGCTTGCCACAACTGAAACAAGCAACCAAACGCTAAACTAATAATTTATGGCATGCCTAACATGTGGTGTGGCAATGTGTGGCACCTAACCAAACAACCCCCCCCCCCAAACAGGCCCCTTAGAGCAAGTTTAATAGTATAGCCAACTACTAGCTCCAATTTATCTGTAGCCAATCTAACAGCTCATTTATACAATAGTTACATACTACACTATTACACTAGTAGTACTTGGTCCCGCCTGTCATACGCACACTGTGTCTTGGAGTCCGTGCTACAGCTGGCTACAAATCTGTAGCCCGCTGCCCTTATCTCTCTTCATTTATCTCCTTAAAATATTTTTGCAGCTAGCTTATAGCCTGCTATTGTACCTGCTCTTATGTCCATGTTCCCAACCTTACTCTCTCGTTTACCGCGCGCACGCTTTTAAAACTGCTAAACGGTGTGTGTTTTGCAAAAATTTTCTATAGAAAAGTTGCTTCAAAAAATCATATTAATGTTTGAAGTTTTCTATAGAAAAATCCATTTTTGAAGTTTTTTAAAAACTAATAATTAATTAATTACGCATTAATCCATTGCTCCGTTTTCCATGTCGGAGGTGAGGTTCCCAACCCTAACCCTTACCTAAGAACACAGCCCAAGTTTGCTAGTATTCTCACATCGTTTTCTAACATCAAAACCAATTTGACCCCCATAATGGTTCCAAAACTTTTGAGCCTCAACGAAGCTACTAAATGTCTGCTACTTTGTGGTACCCAATTAGGTAAGGTGTTTTCTCTGTAGAAAATATAGCATTGAAAATGTTTTTATGTTGCCGACAGAAAGGGTTGGGACATATGGTCTCATATAAACTAACAATTGTATTGCTTACTTGTTAGATGTAGAAACAGGACAGGGAGATTGAAGAGAAGAATCTTCTTGCTGCCCATCAGACTGAATCATGCTGCAGTTCTTCTCTGTAGAAAATAGAACATAGAAAACTTCTTCACATGGAACAAATGCTGTTGATCGTGTGAAAGAATTATATTGCTTACCTGCTAGATGTAACAACTGGAACAGAATATTGTTGATGAGATGAACTTCCTTGCCATCTAATGGAGAATGAATCGCACTGCAAGTCGTCTCTATTTTTGTTGGTGTCTTTCATTCAATCTAAGTATTGCAATATGTGGCTGGTTTGACATGTTTGACGATAGTAATACCAACTAATATTAAGGAATGTGGACCGTCTCATGTTTTGGCGGCAAGAATGAGAGCGGTAAAAAGGTTTTCCGCTAGAAACAAAGAAGCGTGAGCTTTTGGATAACTAACAAGCACTTCAATAATAGCAAGCTAATAATATAGCTAACTTGTTGGCTATAATATTTTTTGCAATCTTTTCTTAGCCCACATATATAATAGTATTTACAATTAATATATGGCCCAAATTTCTTGGTTCTTGTGTTCAAGCCGGCTATAAATTTATAGCCCGCTTCTCCTCTTTCTCCTCTCTTCTCTCCTTCATCTCAACATTTAGTCGACTTATAGCCTCCAATTATACTTGCTCTAACAACCTACTACATTATTAGCCATTGATCTTGGGTGTGGATGATTAGGATGGAGAGAATGCCACCCCTGCCATTACTATGCAATGTTAAGACGATACAAACTCATTCTGCATTGCAGCCAAAATTTATGCTTATAAGACGAAATTTAAATGTCAAACCTTAAATTTGAAGTTAATTTTAAGGTTTTTTATCATAATTTATTTTTCATACTTTACTTCTAAATCACAAATAATACATATTTAAAAGTTTTATTTACAAATTATTTTTCGTTTATAAATATTCCGTTTCGCTTATTCAATTCATCTATACTAATATAAAAAGGAGGAGTTGCCCCCCTCCAATCCTACCAGCCAATTCACTTGGATCAATCCCTACCATCCGTCCACATCTATCTACTAATCCGGACCGTCCATCTTCTATCCTAATCCGTTCTGTCGTCCTCCTAATGAGCGCTGATCCTTGCACGGCTCTTCCTGCTAGGGGTGGGCATTCGGTCTAACTGAAAATTTCGGTCTCGGTCTTCGGTCTTTCGGTCTTTTCGGTCTTTGAAAAGTGAAGACCGAATTTCAGTAAAAAATGTCAGGACCGACAAATTCGGCCTCGGTCTTTTCGGTCTCGGTCTCGGTCCTGACCGAAATTCAATAATATTTTCATATATGCAAAGAAACAATAGAAATTTTCAACACAAAAATCACAAAAAAAATTCGTAAGCACTTATGAGTAAAGACTCTTAATAGGTTGCATGCTAGAAGAAGTAGGATGTGAAAATTAGAGTTTAATCTTATTAAACATAGTGGATTGTATGTTGCATTTAGACATTTTTTGGTAATTCGGTCTTTTCGGTCTATTCGGTTACCCGAGGAGACTAACCGAATTGACCAAACAAAATTCGGTCTTTCACTACCTAGGACCGAATTGATGACCGAATTTCTCGGTCTCGGTCTTTTCGGTCTCGGTCTCGATCTTTTCTGTTCGGTCTTTTTCTGCCCACCCCTGCTTCCCGCTGCTCCTCACGTGACTCCCGTGATGACCGCGCGTTGACCACGCCTCGCTCCTCTCACGCTGCTCCTCCTCGCTGATTCCAATAGCGACGGCGATTCCACCGATTCCGCCGCTGTTGGATCTCCACTAATTCCATCGATTCCACCAATTTCGCCCCAAAGCGGTGACTCCGCCACACAAAACCCAGCCGCGATGACTCCGCCGTGCGCATCCTCTCTCGCTTGCTCCTCACTCGACCAGCGCTGAGCCACCACCGCACAATCGCATCCCCTTCCGCCGGTGCCACGCCTGGGACTGCCCCCGACGACTATGGACGCACGCCCCCATTGCTCCTCCGCAAATAGCTCCTGAGCTTCATGCGAAGCCCGCGCCGGCCCCACAAAAGTCTCTCCTCCGAGAATCCCTCCCCACGGAATCCCTAAGCTCCTCTCTCTTCCTCAGGGAGCGTCGCCGATCCGTCGGTCGCTGCTCACCCTCCCGTCGCCGGATCCCCTCCCATCATCGGCTGCCACCCGGCGTCTATCGCCGTCGCTGTTGGATGCAGGTCGTTGTCCGGCGTTGACTGCCCTCGCTATTGGATCAAGGCTGTCGCCCATCGTCGGGCGTCATCAACTGCCACCGCCGCTCGCTGGCTCGCCGCCCGATCGAGCAGGCCAGCACCCATCTCCAGCGCCCACCAGGTGAGTTCCCACCCTTGCACTGCAGCCACCCTAGCCACCATGTCCAATTACGATGAAACATTTTCTTTCTTCCCCCTCATTTCTTTCATGTTCTTTGTAGGTGAACCAGGTACAGAGGATGTACTGGAGGCGTGGGGGCTAATCACTAATCAGTCAGATTTTTGTGGATCGAGCTTATTACCTGAGTTTTCTCCTCTTCGGTGATGGAGCCGGTTCAGGTGCGCGCAAAGGAAATAGTTGCTACACCCCCAGAAATCAAGTAGTTTAAATACTTCTTTGTTGAATAAACTAGCATACACGACATAATGGTGGTTCAGTAGTTTTTGTTGTTATAGTTGCTATCGTTGTTTTCTTGTAGGTGAATGTGCTCTTATCCTGATACGTCATAGTGAATCATTGTGGAATGACTGAAATCTGTTTTATTATGGAATGAGCAAAAATTGTTTACTTGCGTCGATGTCGAGAAGGCTATATATGTCGGGAGCTGTTTGGAAAATGTTTTAAAACATTATTGGGAAAGTATTTTGCGGGGCAGTTTGGAAAGGGTTTTATTGGAGCAACGCTGGGAATTGTACTTTTATTGGATCAATAATGATTGGAAAGGATTTTATCGGAGAAATCTTGATTAGGAAGGTATATGTACGTGTGGTCAGAAATTTATCCCTTTGCAATTCAATAGATGCATTCTCTATTTTGCTAACAAGAATTAATTTGCATTTTTTTGGAAAGAAAACAGACGATGTGCATTGAAAGAATTATTATTCTTTGAGATCTTGATAATATGTTTCTTGTCCAGGCATTCCCATGAGTTGCAAATCCAAGGAAGTTAATAACACCACTTGTCTACAGTATTACAAGTTAATTGATTTATTCCATTACGAGCTAAAGCCCACTGGTATGTTTTTGTTTCTCTGCCATTCACCATTGAAATATGGAATGCCATATTCTTTTTTTCCTTCGATGCACTCATGCACTCTTAATTGTCTGTTCTAATTTCTTCGACCACTAATAATTTGCAGTTTGATATTGCTTTATCCCGCTGCTTTGCCATTAGAACCAACAAAAGGAGGAATGCCATTAGCTGAGGCAGATTCAATACCAAAGTTGATTGTTTGATTCTAAACGTAATTATCATGGTTTCTTCTGGTCCTTTAATGGTGATATTAAGATTTGGGCAAAATTAGTACAAGAGCTACATGTCCAAAATACCTTGGTAGCTTCCCACTTCTACTATCTCTCCAATTTACTCTTAAATTGTATGATACAACATTATCAAGTTTCATAGTAGTTATTTTGGACTCACCTCTTCAAAGTACTTGTCATCTGGGTTGGGAGGTAATTTCTAAATCTCAGCTCTGCTATTTGATGATCTGACATTCATATTTTACTATATACTTCTTGTCACTAGAATTCCTGCTGCATACGTACTAGCTAGGTATTTCCTCTTACAATAATGGCTGTTAGAATTAGCAGCATGAAACTGATCAGCTCAACTCCATGCTATGTAATACTTGAACAATCTGAGAGTTTTTCTTTACTCCAGAACACCTGAGAGTTGACATATATGATATATTTAACAGATTGTGTTGATTGCGCATAAAGAAGTAGCCCAACATTTTTCTGCTATGCACATGAACATATTGGTACATATTTACAATTCTTTATTTTTACGAGGCACTATGCTACTGATATTCTATTGATTGGTTGCAGCTGAATTTATTTAAAAAAAAACTACTGTTTTTTTTTCACCTACGTTGCCATTCCTCCGTTCCTGCATGTCCACTTTGTTGCAAATCTGGAATTGTGGAGAAACTCTTGATGTTCATCATATGCCAGTTCATACTTTTCTAAATTGCCAAATTGAAAAGAGGGTTACATATTTATTCAGTCCTATCTGCAGGTTGGAAGTTGTATGCAGCTAGCTAGATCACTTTCTTATCACAACTCACAAGATTGCCGCTCTAATAGCTACAGTTTGAATCTAGGATGGTCTGTCATAAGGAGCTTTCATTACTTATATGAACTTTGTTAAATCAAAATTTATCCATTTGTGGCTTTTATTGTTTGAGATTGAAAAAAAAATCAGGTTGCTGCTCAAGAGCAAAAGGCAAAAACATAGGGCAGTGATAAAACTATTTTTGGGCACAGTTAGTCTGTGACCATGTCTTCATAGGCATAAATGAAAGGGAAACTCATTGTTAAGAAACTGAAATGGAAACAACTTTTCCATGGTGATCCAATTGACCATGCTAGGATCTTGGATATCAATACTGTAATTCATAAAGTGCAGAATACATGATTCAGTTGGAGAAAGGCAATACATGAGGAAGATGTTTTGAACAATATATTATCTTAGGTTAAACTATTTTTTTTCTCATCTGGTGTTTTGTACCCTTACAATCGTCTAGCTGTCTAGCTGTTGTAATTCATCAAGTGTTACCAATGTTGAATTGGTTGTACTCTATAGCAACCTAGCAGGACTTTATATTTTGTTCTTTGCAAAATTTGGCATGGAGTGAGAAAGGGATTATGTTTACAATTTTCAAATAAATTAGTGTTAAACAAAAATCCGAGCAGTTTTATACCTAACCAAGGCATTCCCTTTAGTCTTCTTGCCCCCTTGGCACATAGGGTGATAGGGAACAGTTAAAATTCTAAGAAATTTTATACTGAACATGAGCAAATTTTATTTCTCTTAAGTTTTTCTAACAGCTATATTGCTCATTCAAGGAGGCTGATGAAAAATCCAAGATTGCAGTCACACTTTGATGCATGAATATTACTTCCTCCATTTTAAAATATATAATATTATTGACTTGTAGGACATGACGCTTGACTGATAATTTTGTTAAAAAGTTATGTATATATGTGACTTGTTTCATTATCATTAAAGATACCTCAAGCGCAATTCATATTTTCTCAATTCATATAAAAGTATTATGATGCAAGATTGGGAGGATTTCCTTGGTACTAAATAGCAAAAAAAAATAGTTATGTTATGTTATTCAAACTTATAAGTGAAAGTATATTGATTTTTTAAATGTATGTCGTAGCTTTTAATTATATACTACTATAAATTTGATTTTAAAAATAATATAATTTTAATACAGGTTACGACGTGTACTACACGTGCACAGTAACGTGCACAGGTTACTGGTAGACGAAACGATGGAATCGGTTGGGCATTTTGGCCTACCGCCTCCAGGTGTCCGCAGTTACAGGGGTTGGGCGGGTCCCACGCGCTGGCTTGCCGCGTACGCCTCCTCCACGCCCTCTCTCTCGTCTTCTCTCGCCTCAGTTTTCAAAAATCAAATGCCCAACCATTTTTCGCCTCTCTCTTCCCCACCTCGCCTCCTTTCTCTCTCTCTCTCACCCTCCTCTTCTCAGTCTCACCCCCATTCGCAAAACCCTACTCCCTCGCGCTTCCCCGACCCATCCGCCATGGCGGCGCGGCGATCTCGCCTCGCCGCTCCGACGTCCTCCTCCGGTAAGCCCCCACCCCCCCTCCTCCCCGCGCCTTGACCCGTACGCCAAAAACCCTAACTAAATCCGCTCACTCTCTCTCTATACAGCCGCGGCCGCTTCGATGCAGCACGAGCTCCTCGAGGCGGCGGCCAGCGGCGACCTCCGCCACCTCAAGAGTACGCGGCGCTCACTCTCTCACTCACTCACCCCCAGCCTCCGCGATTTTGGGGATTTGGGTGGCGTTAATCTTCGGAATTGCTTTTGAATGTGCGCAGGGCTGGTGCGGGCGCTGGATAAGGTCAGGGGCCGCCTCCAGGAGGTGGTGGAGGCGGCGAGGACGGACGGCGGCATCTGGGCGCTGCAGCTCGCCGCGGGCAACGAGCAGCTGGAGGTGTGCCGCTACCTCGTCGAAGGGCTGCGCGTGGATGTGAACGCCGCCGATGATGAGGGTATGTTTCTGTTTTGTTGATCCGTAGTTAGTTGTGCTGGCATTTTAGGATTTGTGAATCTAAAAACCTGCTCTGTTTTGTGTTTTTTGGTGGGGGAAAATAGTTAATTGATTGCACAATGGGGAATTAACCAGTGTATTGGCTGTCGTGCAACTTATAAGATGATATACTTGTGTAATTAATTAAGTTGATCGGTTGCTTGATACGTACTAGGTTTTAGATATGATTGATGAGTTCACGGGACGCTGGAAATTTTGTGTGATTGTGTCTATTCCTAGCAGAGAAAAAGCACAAAATGATAAGCATGGGTTTACTCTTCATTGTCTTGTTATGTTATCCTCATTCATCATCGTATGCTTCATTAAAATATGCCATGTTCAACAATGAAATATTTCCTATCACTATCAGATACAAACATGTAACCGATTGAGAGGGAATTCTCTGTGATTGTTTGGTTACTCGCACTTGCGAAAATGCCCCAAAAGAATTCGTTGGTGTTATTAATACTTCAATTTCATCTCACGGGGATGGAAATTAATTTCCTACAGTTGATTCTGCATACTTACGGGTCTGTTAGAACTTTTAAAGTGAAATAGTTAGTCCTTTTTTCCAAACACAGTCTCAGGCCCTTCCACATTCCATTTCATGTGATTCCTGAATTTCATGTATGTGTGGTTCCATGCTTTGTAATCTTGCTGATCATATTTCTAAATATGATGCCCAGTGAAAAGTTTTCAGATGTACATTTCTTTTCTGATCCTGAATTTGTTTGCATCGATCTGTGTGCATGACAGGTAGAACACCTCTAGTTTTTGCGGTGATCGGTGAAAATGCTGCTATTGTCAAGTACCTTCTTGATCATGGTGCTGATCCAGACAAAGCTGATGATGACGGGCTAACCCCTCTACATTCCGCTGCTGGAATAGGTCCTCTCTATTCATATGCATCTCTGTTTTACACGCGTGCACCACAGGTTCACAGTTTTTTTTTCCTTTTGTTTGTAATATATTAGGCGGCGGTATTATGTTCTAACTAAGGTTTATTTGACCTCGTTCCAGGACAATTTATATTTCTTTCCCTTATGTTAGTGTGGAAGTAGATTATCTTCAAAGCTGATAGCTAAATTCTGTTGAGCTATCATTCACAACATCCTTATTCCTTAGGCTGTGTTCGGTAGTGCAGGATGGGAATTAATCCCTCCTGCACGCAAAACGGAGTGGTCTATTAGCATGTGATTAATTAAGTATTAGCTAATTTTTTTTTTGAAAAATGGATCAATATGACTTTTTAAAGCAACTTTCGCATAGAATTTTTTTTGCAAAAAACACACCGTTGTGTGCGGAAAATGAAAGAGATGAGTTGGGAACATGAAGTGCCGAACTCAGCCTTAAACATTTCAATGTCTATGGCAGGCAGTGTATTCTCTGAATGTTTTTTTTAATCAAATAAGTGTTCTTTTGTTATTCAATGGTGTGTGAAAAATATGTCCACATCCAAAATGTCCCCCTTTGCTTGATTTCAACAGTTATCAGTCCACCCAATTTCTTTGACTTGGCGAGTAGGGATTGTTGTTGTTTCTATGAAACGTTAACCCCTTTAGAATGATCTTTGTAGCCTATATGCAGGGAAAACTGAGGTCTGCCAAGAGCCAGATACAAATTAAGAAAAAAAGATTCAGGAAAAAAAAAACTTACCATCATTGCTTCTTGTATGCAGGAGATTGTGAAATGATAGAAACGTTGCTGGCAAAGGGGGCTGATATTGATCCGGTAGCTGATGAATGTGGGACGCCACTACATCTTGCTACTAAGGAATGACAAGTCGGTGCTATGAAGGTTTTATTGGATCATAATGCAGATGTAAGCTTAAGATCATGCTACTTCTGCCTTAAGTTGCATGTTCAACTGTAAACATAAACTAAGTTTGAACATTTGCTTTTTCTTCATTTGTTTGTTAGCTGTGTTGTTCTCATTCTCCATTGTAGTTACTCTTTGGTACTTTCATCCCTTGACGTTGTTTTGCTTTTTTGGTGCAATGTAAGTTAAGATGTGAAATGTGATCATGGCTCTTTAATTTGCAGCACAATTAAATTTTCAAATGTTTGTTCCTAGCTGTCTAGTTTTCTAGTTACATGTTATTCTTCAAGATCTCCTTGGTAGCAGCTGTTACAATAATCAGAAATACTTCATTGCTTCTGTTTAAATCCATAACGATGTATTCTCAAAGCTATAGTCCAGTCTATAGCTTTATAATCTCCATTCTTACGCAAGAGTAATGTTTAATGTTAACTGGGATCACCACTATTGTTTTATGTGAAAATCTATTATGCATGCTTTCATGTATGTATGGTTTTCAAAGAGCCAATTGCATGCATGGGACGATTTCTTCTGGGTGCATTGCCCTTTTATGCACTTGCCATAATGGTTGATTTTCTATCATGTTGCCATTCCTATGTAAGTGTCATGTGGAATCAATCACTCAAATAAGAAAAATCTACTAGTCAAGAGTTGACCAATAAGGCAGCTATGCAACATTGTGCTTATTTGTTTTTGAAAATTGCAATATCACGGGAAATGTTTCCTTCTTTTTTACTGAAAGCTTGGCATAGATATATGGTCATGTATATTTACCTTTCTGTTTGATATTTTTCTCCATCCAGTTATTATAATCAATTAATAGCAACTAATGTGCTTCACATCTCTCACTAGTGCAACAAGACGTACATGATGTTTGGATTGTATCCTATGACAACCCCTCTTTCAGGCTGTAAATGTTTCATCAGTGGAATGTGTGAAGCTCCTGGTTGAGGTATTGTACCTTCATCTTAGCTTTGTCAAGTTCTACCATTGCTCTGGGGTTGCTTACTTTATTAAAACATTCTTCCAACACTTCAGTTTGGAAGCCTTTAAATTTTACATTATTCACCTTAAAGAAACATTCCTTTTATGTGATAGGCTGGTGCTGATGTCAACTCAGATTGTATCTCAACTGCTGCACTTGATTCTGCAATGGGCAATGATGGTTCAACTGAGTGCTTAAATTTCTTAATGGAGGCTGGTGCCAACTATGGTGGCCCTAATGATGTAAGCTTTGCCTCTTTGCACTAGTAAACACTAAACACAAGCATATCGTACATGGCACTGTTCAAGACATAAGCTGTGGAACATAAGTGTCTGGTAAATGGCTTTCTATAATGTGGTAATAACCTTGACATCAAACTGAACCTCAAGAAAAAGAACCTGTTGTCATGTAATGTGGTAATTGCTCTAGTTTGTTGCCTTATGTGTTCTGAGTTCTTGAAGTGTTGTGTATCTACCTTCAGTAAATTTGTGTGTGAAATGGTGGCAATCATACTGACTGGAGTAGGAATATAAGTGATTCACTTCAGAGTACTGCAGCCTCGCCGCTTATCATCCATGTACCATTTTGTTTTGGGGACATATCCGGTAAAAATGAGCTAAGTGTTGAAAACTCGTGAAAATCATATCTAAAAGTTTTGTAAATTCATGAAAAAAATACTAGAGATAGGTGTAGATATGATATACATTCTCACCAAATCTCAAGTTCAAACTCAATTTCGTTTAGGAGTAACAAAAAAGACAAATTTCAGGTGAATAGTAACAGGACACTATTCACCTGAAATTTGTCTTTTTTGTTTCTCATAAACGAACTTGAGTTTGGAGTTAAGATTTGGTAAGAATGTATTTTATATCTACACCTATCTCTAGTATTTTTTTCATAAATTTACGAAACTTTTAGGTATGATTTTCACGAGTTTTCAACACTTAGCTCATTTTCACCGGATATGTCCTCTTTTGTTTTTTCACGTTAGACAAGTTAGGTTCATGTTTTTTTCTGTACTTGTAAGTTACTGCCTGATTGTGCTAACCTCAGTGAAGAGGTTTAGTTGTGTGTTTGGTGAGTTTTGTGAAAACCTAAGGTGCTTCTAGGATAGTTATTCAGTTGTTTTTGTCATCTTTAGTTTAGGGTCTATTCAGTTTGTGGCTGCAGTTTGCCACATTTCTGGCAGCCAAAGTTTGGCAACATCCTAGTGGAGGACATGATCCACCAACCTTGGCACCAGGTCCTTAGGTGCCTCCAAAATTCTATAATTAAGCTATGTTTATTATCTAACAGTCTGGTTGGATTCTTGCTGAATGTGAATTTATGCTGAAAACATCATGAAGGTGCATGTTGGCAAGTGATCCCACGTGATGCTTAAGTTGACTAATGGCTTTGTTCAAAACAATTTGACCATTCTACACAAAATATTTGTATGCTTCGCATGAGAAGTATATTGATGAAATGCCATATTTGCATGTACTTTTAAAATGAGTTGTTGGAATATTTACAAATATGTTATCAAGGAAATATTACGAATACTTTAAATATGAAATTTATATCTTATGTTTGCTTTTAAGTAATGTGAGATGACACATGTCCAATCGGAACAATTCAAATTTACTTATATTTTTGTTTGATTCTATTTTTCTTATACTGACCAAATTTACTTAAAATGTATAGTTTTTGTTCGAAATGGATAAATTGGTAGAAAATTTGCAGGGTACACTGATTCTAGATTTCTAGTGTCCCATCTTGTTAGAAGCAGTTATTGATTGTGACGTCATCTTAAATCTTTAGATTATATAGAAAACAGGAGATGAACTGGGTTAGTCTTGCACACTTACACTAGAATATGAGGCAAAATTTATGAGGATATTATATTGCTGGTTGTTTAAGTTTCCATTAATCTGGGAGCATATTACCCAATAATATTTATTACTGTATATTCTGGTTGTTAAGTTTCCATATAGTTATTGGAGCCTATTGCCCAATAATATTTTTACAGTACTGAGCATGGATGTAGGATGCTGTATGATTAGCATGACCACATAAGTACTTTGAAATCTAAACTTTATTCTTGTGCCAAATCAAGACCATGTTTTCCCAAACATTTACAGAACAGTCCTATGTAGTTTCTTTACTATTATAGCATTTTTCCATTCATTACTCATGTCTACATCTTTAATATTATCTATGGTTCAGGATCAACATGTGAATAAAAAGAAAATAGAAGAGTTGAAGACATCTGGGAATAAAGCAGTCGATAGAGAAGATTACATTTCTGCTTCAGCGTTCTACACTAAGGTGTGTTACAACGCCATATTCTGTGTTGTTTTCCTGCTTCTAGCTATGGTTGAGTCACCAAATGCGAGGCCATGTTATGAAAAGAAAACTTGCCGGTGGCATCGTCAGGGGTTAACTAGTTAACTACCTTGCAAAAATAGGGCTAGGATGACTTGAAAGGGATCAGGCTATTGTAAGGGGTAAAGATAGGCACTGATTTGTGTGTGGGTATTATATTGCTTAACAGAAGATTTTACAATAGTCTTCTTGTGTATAAGTGTATCAAGACTTGACACCTAAAACTAGAAACTCCTACCTTATCTCTGCCTTATTCCAAATGAAACAAATCTCCGAATGCTCCTCAACTTTCTTAACTTATGCTAGGTGACCAATCCACCAGCCCCGTCATGCCCTTGCTGCTGGTCCAATTTGGCTCTTGGTGTTCTAGCAGGAATTTGTCCTTACCAGGCCACAACTGTTCAACTAGGAATTTGTCTAGCAGGAATTCTTCCTGATTGTGTTAGGATCATTAGTTAATATAACTGGTACATTTATTAATGCAGTGCCTTTGCAGAGGACAGAATTGGAATTGCTGGTCTGCTGCATTTCCCTCACAAACTGAATTGTGTGCTGGAGGTGCAAATAAACCTGTGTTTGGGGAATACTATGTTTTTCAGGGCCAATGAGTCATTTTTCGACTTTAAAATTACTGCAGATACATTTACCACAAAGTAAAATTTTCTAAAAGCCTACCAATTGAATCACCGGTTGGGCGGCCCGGCAAATCAGGAACCTACTGCTTGATTGGTTAGCTCACTGCTTCAATAGAATGATGATGAAAAAGTGAATCTTGTACTCAAATGTAACTTATCTCCCATTCCTCATCCCTGTCAACTCGAAAGCTAGTAAGCAAGGGACCAATACAAGACCTGGTCTGGCCTGGACCAAAAAAAAAAGAATGTAACAAGGGGGCTTGTTTTGCTTGATTCGTTCTCTATCACCCTTCCATATTTTCAATGGGGTTAGGGAATCTTAAATCAGAACTTATTTGATCTGCAATTGACTTGCTTTTCTGTTGTGCTATATTGAATGAATTATATATGAGAAAGAGTTTCATAGGTTGACTTTTATTTCAAGAAAATTAAGGTATTTGCATACTTTATTAATATCTTGCACTAATAATAGTCAATGAGAAACCTTTTTCAGATTTCCATTAAAATGCTGACAAATTCGTATCTGTTTTTGATACTCAGCAAATATTCTAAGTGTTGCTTTAACTTATTGGATGCAGGCAATGGATCTTGACCCTAATGATGCAACCTTGTTCTCAAACAGGAGCCTTTGCTGGCTCTGCATGGGTGATGGAAAGAAGGCTTTTCTGGATGCTCTTGAATGCAGAGAAATGCGGCCCGATTGGCCAAAGGCCTGCTACCGGCTTGGTGCTGCTCTGATGACCCTGAAGGTGCAATAGAAGATCCTTTTGGCTAGTTTTTTGACCAATGCAAAGTGTTTTAAATAATTCACAAGGCCTTCATCATCAGGACTTCGAGAGCGCGTGCGATGCACTTTTTGATGGATTCAAGTTGGACCCGGACAATGCAGAGATTGAGCGTGCATTACGGTATACATAATACTCTTTTGCATTGTTGCATGCATGTTTCAGCACATCTCACTGTTAGTTATATATTGGAAACGTGTTATTTTGATTTCTCTTATGTGCTTACTTTAGGATGGGAATTTTACAGTTGCTCTTGCTTCCTAAAATCTTCATCTATGCTATCTATTTGCTAGATTTGTGCCATATCCTGTTTTTGTATCCTTCAATTGGTAGGGGTTGATTCATAACATGCCATCCATTACATTGGTCCACACAACACCATTTACATGCATAGAGTATTAAATATAGATAAATTAAAAAACTAATTGCACAGTTAGGGGGGAAATCATCGTGAGATGAATCTTTTGAGCCTAATTAGTCCATGATTAGCCATAAGTGCTATAGTAACCCCACATTTGGTAATGACGGATTAATTAGGCTCAAAAGATTCGTCTCGTGGTTTCCAGATGAGTTATGAAATTAGTTTTTTCATTCGTGTCCGAAAACCCCTTCCGACATGCGGTCAAACGTCCGATGTGACACCCAAAAATTTTCTTTTCACGAACTAAACAGGCCCAAGCTTTCTAGGCTGAAAAGGAAAGGGAAAAAAAAGTCAAAATAGAACTATGGAACACAAAATGGTGATCTGTGGCCCAAATGATGTAGATGGATGCTATTCCCTGTATTGCTTCTTTACCGATGTTCTTCTGTACTTATGTGGAATGCCAATGTTGTTCATGGCATGAACTGAATTATCCCTTCAATCAGAAGTTTCATGTTTTATTATACAAAAAGGGGTACCATTACATGTGACCATATTGTGATCAGTCACGCATCTGTGCCTAAAGACGTACAGTACACCATTATCCAACACTGATTGTGGCTGTGATGTGCAGGGAAGCTATGGAATCTCTGAAGATATCATCTAAAGGCACCAAGGCAACATGAACTCTGCCCTTATGTTGAGACACATCTCGTGAATCAGATGTGTGGATCGCGTCCTCTTTTTCTAGTCAAGTAGTGACCGCAGAAATGCTTACTGCGAAGCATTTCCCATGTTTCCGAGGGCGAAAATATAGCGAAGTTGCTTTTGTGCATTACCCAATGTGTCGCCACTGCTTCTCGTTTGTTATCTTTTGTGCATCCGAGGTGGTAATGTTTAGTACTAGCAAATTTTTGTTTCTGGCTTGATTTTTGCTGTGAAGCGTCTGCCCGTATACGTCGGTCATAAACACTGTCGGTGGTGGGTGTGTTAATGAGGGAAGGCCGCCTCATGTAGTCATGTGCCGCCGCCTAAGCTGCTCCTCGCGGCTCTTTTACATGGACCGCTGACCGGGTTCGGCAGTGCGATCGATTAGGAATAAAAGTTTTATGTATACTAGAAGTATAAGCGCGGCGTCATATAGAGTTAATACGAAGCATATAATATAAGTATATGGTGTACGGTACAGAAAAATGTTGTACAATAAATTAGTAGAAATACAGAACACATTGCAGCTCGTTTTGCCCGCAAATGGAAATAACATAATTTTGAATTTACTCATGTTCCCGAGTTCCGGCGGTATAACTCCAGTAAGTTTGTTCTCATGTAAATATCTGAAGAGAAAAATGACAGTAAGTGCTATAGAAGAGAACTTACTTTCAGAAAACTGAAAATGCATAGTAAGATGCACTTACTTTCTTCTCTTCTTCTTCTCCTTGTACCGTGTAAGAGCATTATCTCTGCTGCCTCCAGCAGATGAACTTTCAGGACCAGGAGGATGCCAGGGTGGCTCACCCATAAGGATCATTGACAATACCCCACAATCTTAAAATCTCCAGCACTACTTTCACCAGTCAAACCAGAGAAGGAAAGGGATATGCTGGACATAGCCTTCCTACCAGGAATACAATGGCTGGAATCAGCCCTTGCAGCTGGGTTTGACATCCCAGTATCAACAGATGCGACATTGTTACATTCTGGCTGGTGCACAGGTTTGGGCTGCTGAAAGTACAAGAATTTGACAAAACTTGAACATTCAGAGTCAGATTTGCTGATAAGATGAACGAAACCTTAAAAAAAATGACAGTAAGTCATGGCCTTTGAACAAACAATATCATCAGAAAGGGATACTCCAACAACAGAACCTGGAGCCCCTAAATTCAACAATTATACAAGGCTAAAAAAATCATTCCAATTTCAACCAAACTTCCAATTTTAACGTGAACTAAACACACCCTTCGTCAACCTCTGAAAGGGGACATGAAAACAAGCAGTCATGTACGAACATAAAAATCACCAGAAGAGTTGATCTGAGCTTCTCTGCCCAACAAGAAAAATTCAAGAAATTGGTACTGCACGAAATAAATGCTAACATAAGTTCTAAATTCCAACTGACATTAATGAATCTGGAGCCCAGAAAATTCAGAACACAAAACGTAGTACATACATGAACCTTGTCTAGTAGTAAAGTGTAAAGTTCAGAATGTCCATCGATCCAGTTGAACAAAAAAAAATCAAACTCATAAACGGCGCTGAGGTAGTAGTATGTGTATAAAAAAGAAAATAAAACCTGTGGAAGAGATATCAGATATAGCACCTGTAAACTTGGTCCATGAAATAAAAACACAACTTTCCTGCAGAAAAATTGGACATACAGACATACAGTAAGCCAACGAAAAAACCAGGACAACACGTAGAACCAATCGGGGCAGCAAAAATTAAGAGATTTGCTGCCGTTCGAAGAAGGAAAATTTAGTCGAACAAAATTCAGAATCAACCACCGCTGACGCATTGACAGGTAAAAAAAAAAAGAACAGTGGATTCTCTGAAGAACACAAAAGAAAGATTCCTGCAGAGTATAGGCGGATGTGCTTGCTCCAGATATGCACCATATGCAACACAACTCCCAGTTGCTTGATGCCCTCCTTCCTGCACATAACAGCAAACTTGCCAACTGCGTTCATCACATGCTCCGCGCACCTATAGAGGAAAAACCATTCAGATGAGGAAGAAAGGGTCAGGACACGGAAAGTGCAAAAAAATCAGATCTTGTCAATCAAACAAAACAACAGAAAAACAAACACTTTCCTCTGCTCCATCCAACGGCACATTCTGGGCAAGGGCGTTGACGTCCTTCAGCGGCAGACTCCGTCACTATGATGTTGAGGGAGGCGCACTCCAGTCGAAGGCTCGGTGCTGAGCCAGCCCCTCGTTATCTCGCAGGTTGGGGAGGACACTTTTGGGGGTCGTTCGAGTGGTCGAGGCAGGTGAAGTCGTCGTCCCTTTCCCACTGCGGTGCTGCTCCAGCCGGTGGGGATGGGGATGAGCTGACCCGGAGAGAGAAGCGGCAGAAAGCAATAGGTAGGAGGAGTGGTGGAGAGGTAGAGAGCGCGGCGCACGGAGAGACGGGTTGGGAGGGAGCCCGCGGAGAGGTTGGAGGGCCGATGTGCCTTGTCGGGTTGAGGGGGAAAGAAGGGTGCTCGCCGTCGCATGCACCTCCCCTCCCTTGCCAATCTAGGGGGTCGAGATCCACTCAATCCAGGGGGAGGCGGACGACGAAGGCAGCGACAGAGGGAGGACGCACCACGGCGACGACGGCGGCCGGCGGAGCGGGGCGCAGTGGGGACCTCCGCCAGGCCAAGGTCCACCTCCCCCGATCTGCACGGTGTGGGAATGGCGGCAGGAGGCATCACTTGAGAGGAGGAGATGCGGGAGGGCGAGCGCCGGCGCTGATGGGCCGACGACGGAGGCGGATTCGAGGGGAGGACAATGGTGGTGGTGCTTAGGGAGGTGGCGAGGACGGAGGAAGGCGGTCGACGATGGCGGCGACGGAGAGAGGGCGCACACCACGTCGGGGCGAGGGAGGGGGGAGGGGAGGCGGACGACGAAAGCGGCGACAGGAGAGGCCTTACCACGGCGAGGACGGCGGCCGGGCGGCAGCCCCAGGCTGGCGGCGGCGCGGGGCGTAGTGGGGAGGAGGTGGGAATGGGGAACGATAGGGTGGGGATGGAGGGAAGCAGATCCTACGTTAGAGGGACGTACTTCGCTTCATCAGCGTCATTCCGAATCCTACGGCGACGGCGCGATTTCCTTTTTCATCGTCCTTCGGCCCAGTAGCTGTCCAGAGTTCGGCCCAGTTGTCAGTTGCGGAGGCCGAAGGGGAAAAACAGAGCAGCGAAAATGAATTAGAAAGTGAAACAGAGCAACGAAGGTGAGAAAGATTAGTCATATGGCCCGCCCAACCGGCCTACAATTATAATAGCCAAAGTGCCCAACCAAACATCCCCTTGGTCGCTCCCTCTCCTCCTGTCTCCTCCCGACCTCCGCCGATGGCGCTGCTGCCCGACGTCCGGAGGCGAGCAGCCATCTGCGGATGCTCCAGGAGGATCTTGATCGTGCCGGTGTGTAGTTCTCCGCGGCATCGGTGACGGCTGCGGCCGGACGGCATGAGGCTTCAGCTCCAGCCAGATCGACGGTGCCCTCGCCGCCGAGCCTCCATGGAGACCAGGTACGGGGTACGCGCCCGCCTCTAGTGCTAAGGTCGGGTCTGCGCGACGCGCTTTGGCTCGGACTGAATCCATCCCGCAATCAGTTTTTGTCCCACGTCGCTTAGAGCAAGGCTAATAGTATAGCCCGCTGCTGGCTAATAGCCCATGGCTAAAGACAATTACTAGTACAATAGATTGTCTATTAGCTAGCTGCATCTTATAATCAAATAATTAATTATAACATGCACATATCAATATATGTGATCAGGAGTGAATTGTATCCTTGTAGCTATTTGTGTTGTGAGATGAACTTTGTTCACCAAACACCAAGATCATTTCACAGATCATGCCAACCAAGTTATCTGTTGTATAAAAATTACTTCATACAAAGCACTAGTGTTTCGTGGGCAAGAAGAGCTCACGAGGAAGGAGTATATTTCCTAGCCGGATTTTTGTTGAACGGTGTGGCGTGAGAGTTTTTCACCGGCCGAGTCTTTCGCTGATGCATGGACGACGATTACGCACGGACGATGGAGATGGATTCGCGCACGGTGGGGGGGAAGGGGATCGTGCGCCTCACGGGATCGGGCTGAGGATGTGCGGGCCCCACAAACCGCGTTGTTTAGCGCTAGGGTCGACTGCTCGCGAGCGATACGGCGTGGAGAGAAGCGCTAGCGCCCGGCGACAATTTAGTCGCTCGCTTCATTCTCTCTCATCCTTTCTCTCTCATCCACATAGGAAAATGATGATGTGGCACTGTTTTGGAGCCCGCTGAGTCAGCCTATTGTACCTGCTCTTATTCTCAGAACGCGCGACCTCTTTAGAGCACGTATAATAGTGAGCTATAAGCTTACTATAAGCTTAGGTGGAGGAGAGAGGTAGTGAAAAATTAAGGATGTTGGCTCTCATGCAAGAGCTAGCTTATCACAAGCTCCAACACAAATGCATTAAATGTGTAAGTGAGAGATAGAGAGAGGAGAAGAAAATTGTAGCCAACCTTATAGCTAATCTATTATATATATTGGCTTTAAAATAGGCTAATAGTAGGAAGTGGGCTCTATTATTATCCTTGCTCTTATAAACGCTAGTTGATTATGTGGTGTCGCCTCCCCGGAGACACCCACACCGACTAGATACAACAGTAAGATCCCCACCGTGGCCACGGCTTGGCGGATACCTTCTGCTGTAAAAATTAAAAATGGAGCAGTCATAAGGTCCCCTCCCATTACGGGGCACGGCAGGCGCCTGCCGGTTAGGCTGCATCCATAATACGTTAAGATGTCAAATACGGCATACATATAGTCGGGTCTCCCGGTGGAGGCAGCGCTAGACATTAGCGCTTTGCTTTTTGAAATTTTGTATGATCAAATTATTATTTTTCCGTTGATTAATTATACAATAGCAGCAATGGAGGCCTGCATTAGAACCCCCTCTGCGTTTGAATTCCAATTTCCTTTGCGTTTGAATTATACTTACCAGCTTAACTTATCTGAAGATGTTGTCCTTTTTTCTTTTTATAATTTTCTCGGAGTGAATCAACCATGATGCCATAATGCATGCTAACGATGGAGTGTTTAAAATCTTGTCTTGATTGCCCCTGCAGGACCTTATTGTTCAGCTTCTATACTCATTTTGTTTCTGCCACTTTCTAGAGTTAAACCCTGGCTAGATAGGTCTTCTCCATGTCTTTGTATTTTAAAGCATTCTAAAACTATGCTCTACCTTTGTTAGCACATTAGTGTGTGCATCTGGGAATTTGGGTCTAGGGGTGGGCAAAATAAACCAAAATCAAAAGGCAAGCATGCCAGAACCGAGTTGCTACTTGTGGAGATTATGGATATCCCATATCTACACGGCGATGGTATTTGGATTGAATACAGGATACCAAATATAGATAGAATATCTTATTTGTGTCTCGGGTTTGTCTCTCAACTTGTACATCAAGGAAATACCTTGAGACTTAGTCGGTTACGACTGTATTTTATCTGTATCTGCATATTCCGTTAGGGATATAGATTATCTTTTGTAACACGGACTCCTTCCCATATATAAGGGGGGTCCGGGTGCCTCTAGGGGCATATGTTGATTTTCTCCAAATCATACAATCAATAAGACACTCGGCGGATTCATCCCCGGACAGGAGTAGGGTATTACTTCTTGAATAAGAAGGCCTGAACCTGTATAAATCTTTTGTCTCCAAACCCATACACTTCTCCAGCTTGATAGCCACCCCCTTTTATTATTGCCGAAATCTAGTTTCGACAGTTGGCGCGCCAGGTAGGGGTTGCGTCAAGCTTTTCGCCGATCAGTGCAATGGGTTCCGTCTCCGGCATCGACGACCTCGTCTTCCCACCCGGGCAGACGTTTCGGTTCGGCAGCCTCGACTTCGTCACCAACAACTTCGGCAAGATCTCTATCCTTGACTCGGAGTCAGACCAGTCGGGAGAGAACCGGATTTCAGTCCCGTTTGGACTCCCAAACGCGGCTGAAAGTTACTTCAAGACCATCTCAATCGAGTTGGCTTCAAACCACTCAGGCGAGATCGCATCTTCTCCAACAACACCGGATCAAGATGATGGGGCTTACCCACCAATCCTGATGAAGCTCCCCGACGATTTAGCGGCCGTCTCCATCACGACAGCGTCTCCATCCCGTAGGCCTAGGCGGAAGTCGGCTTCAACACCGATTTCGCCTAGCTTCAGGGAAGTCGGCGTCATCCTCCAACCACTCGGCACGGTTTCGACGGATCAGCTGGATGGCTACTACAGCTCTCCCACCGTCGACTCGCGTCCCACCGACATCGTGGAGTACGACGAGTTTAGCTCTCGCTACAACGACCCGGATCTCGACGACTTCGACGGAAGCCTAGATGACAACTACACCCCTCTCTACTTCGGCGTCTTCATGGCCGATAACGAGACGGAGGAGCAACGCCAAGCCCGGGAAACCGAAGCACGTCGCGAGACTGAGCGTCGCCGACTGGAGGAGGAGCGTCAAGCACAAGAACAAGAACGGCTACGGCGTGAGCAGCAGGAGCGTGAGCGGACCGCGAAGGAGGCTGAGGATCGACGGCAGCGAGCCTTGGAAGCAGGGCGCCGAGCGCGTGATTTCATCGGCCAACAAGATGTTGAAGGGACACCGGTTTTCCGCACCCCTCAACAGAATGCGGTTGCCGCGATCACCCTCCTCGACACCCTCCTCAAGGAAAACGAGCTCAATCGATCTGATCACGTCGTCAACATCTTGAACCAGACGAAGACCATGATTGCGGCTTCGGTCCCAGTTAACTCCGAAAGCGTCTGCACGCCGACTGGCAGCCGAGTCCCTCACTTCCGATCTCATGACTACCGTCATCCAAGCCTCAGCATCACCGGCGCAGGATCCAATCGCAGGAGCAGGGGACACGACGAGCGGTCCGTTCACTCACCTCCCGACCATCATGGGGAGCGCCGAGTGGAACGGCCTCGCTCACCACCTCGTCGCCGCCCCGTCGATCTTCGCGACACAATCATACAGCGCCGAGCAGCTCGAGGCCATCATCATTCGCCGGACCGCCACGACGATGACCTTGACGGAGTAGCAGCCTTCACCGACGACCTGCGTCGAGTGGATTGACCAGCCAGCTTCAAGCCGACTGGAATAGAGAAGTATGACGGTACCACTAACCCAGAATCGTGGCTTACCGTCTACGGTCTCGCAATCTGCGCAGCAGGAGGAGACAGCAAGGCCATGGCGAACTATTTACCAGTGGCTTTAGCAGATTCCGCCCGATCTTGGCTCCATGGATTGCCCCGTGGTACAATTGGATCTTGGGCCGAATTACGCGATCACTTCATCGCCAACTTCCAAGGCACCTTCGAGCGTCCCGGCACACAATTCGACCTCTACAACGTTATTCAGAAGTCCGGAGAATCCCTTCGAGATTACATCCGGCGATTTTCTAAACAACGTAACAAAATCTCCGACATCACCGACGACGTTATCATCGCCGCATTCACCAAAGGGATTCGCCACGAACAATTGGTCGGCAAGTTCGGGCGTAAGCCTCCCAGGACAGTCAAGCTTATGTTTGAAAAAGCCAACGAGTACGCCAAAGCTGAAGACGCCGTCACCGCATCAAAGCAGTCGGGTCCCAGTTGGAAGCCAAACAAGGGTACGCCGGCTACGGGAGGAGGTGGAAGTAACAATCATAAGGACCGCAAGCGTAAGCCTGAGGAACTTGTTGCAACCGCCACTCACTCTTCTCGACAGCGTTCGCGCGTCAACACGTTCGACAAGATCATGAACTCCCAATGCCCGCACCATCCTAACTCCAACCACGTGGCCAAAGATTGTTTCGTCTACAAGCAGTTTGCGGAGCAATACACCAAGACTACACGGAAGAACTCCGACGAAGAACAAAGCACGTCGAGGAAGAAGGACGACGGCGACACCCCGGCAGGATTTCAAGACCACCGCAAGGAGCTCAACCATATCTTCGGCGGCCCCCTGGCTTATGAGTCTAAAAGGAAACAAAAGTTGACCGAGCGGGAGATCAATGCTGTTCAGCCCGACACGCCCCAGTATCTTCG